TATATATATATATATATATATATATATAAAGGTCAATGGGAGCAAGTTATATTTCTGATTCTGTATGTTGATGATATCTTGCTAGCTACTAATGATCTTTGTCTATTACATGAAACTAAGAAATTTCTTTCTAAAAATTTTGAAATAAAAGATATGGGAAAGGCAACCTATGTTATTGGAATTCAAATATTCCGTGATAAGTCACAAAGATTGTTGGGGTTGTCTCAGAAAGCATATATCAATAAAGTTTTAGAAAGATTTAAGATCGAAAATTGTTCAGCGAGTGTCATTCCAATTCAGAAAGGAGACAAGTTTAGTCTCATGCAATGTCCTAAAAACGAATTGGAACGCAAAAAAATAACAACTATTCCTTATGCATCTCTTGTTGGGAGCTTAATGTATGCTCAGACTTGCGCCAGGCCAGACATCAGGTTTGCTATCGGAATGCTGGGTAGGTATCAAAGTAACCCGGGACTTGATCATTGGAAAGCTGCAAAGAAAGTATTGAGATACTTGCAAGGAACGAAAGATCACATACTCAATTATAGGAGATCTGATAACTTGGAGGTCATTGGATATTCAGATTCGGACTTTGCTGGATGTATGGATACTAGAAAGTCCACGTTTGGCTATCTGTTCCTCTTGGCTGGAGAGGCTATATCATGGAAAAGTATGAAGCAGTCGGTCATTGCTGCATCCATTATGGAAGCTGAGTTTGTGGCATGCTTTGAGGCTACAATTCAAGGAAATTGGCTGTGAAAGGCTACAATTCAAGGAAATTGGCTGCGAAACTTTATTTCAGGGCTTGGAATTGTCGATGGTATAGCCGGGCCGCTGAAACTTTATTGTGACAATTTTGTAGCGGTCTTCTTTTCAAAGAGCGACAAGTATTCTAAAGGTGCTAAACACGTGGAATTGAAATAATTTACCGTTAAAGAAGAAGTTCTAAAACAAAGGATGTCAATCGAGCATATTAGCACCAATCTTATGATTGCGGATCCATTAATGAAATGATTGCCACCAAAGACGTTTAATGAACATGTCGAAAGGATGGGCATTATTGAAAATTATCATTGACATTATTATGTAATTTATGATGTTTATATATTGACATTCTGAGCTCATTTATGTATTGTTTTTGACAAAATATTATTCCTGTCATAATTGTTAGTACATGTACATGAATGGATTATGTGAATGCTGACAGGGATAGTCTTTTCGAAGACATTATTGCAATTATCGAACTTCTCATTATGTGTCATGTTGGGTAGGGACTAATACTGTAATACATGGAAGGAATTATGCTTATATGATGGTGTAAAATCGTCACGACTCTTATTAGTCTTTACTTAATGATGATATATTAAGTGGCCAATGTATAATGGATTTTAACTCATAATATGCGGATTATGTTATATACCACATAACGAAGCAATATATTACACGGGCCAAGTGGGAGAATGTAAAACCAATTATTTTGTGGCCCATGTAATATTAAAGAATTAATTAAAAGTGGTTAATAATACTAAAAATACTATTGGCCCAATTGAGAAGTGACAGTTTTATAACTGTCAACTTTGATAAAAAGTAGAGAGTTTTATTGTTCATAGGAGACTGCTCCTCTCTGCCTATAAATGTGAATGAAATCCATCAATTAATTCATTCAATTACAGAAAGGAAAAGTGATAGAACAGTTTCTTTAATTTAACAGTTTCTTATTTTGCAGATTTAAAATTCTCAATTATTGCCATGGATCAAGGTGTCTGTTGATCAATTAAATTTATATGTGAAAATCATGAATTCTAAATATCTTGACATTAGGGTTTAATTTCTTACAGCAATCTCAAATCTTTAAGTCATAGCAGAGACGTTTCAAACTTTCAAAAATATGCACTAAAAAGGAACATGGACGACTTCTGTCCAAAAATCCATTAGGGACCGAAAATTAAGCGATTTACCATAATTTAACTATCTTTAAAAATGGGAAAATAATAAGCTTTGTTGCGTGTTGTCACACCTGGCCAATCTACTTGGGACAATGACCCACTCATGACGATCCACGTGGCATTCCTGCCGAGGTGGCACACAATGTCGAGGTGGGCTACATCCGAACTGGTTCCTGCCGAGGCTCCTTTTGTTCGAGACCCAGTGACCGAAGCCTACGAACCGAAGCCAGGCTGCTGGAACCTGTTGAGAGTAGCTGAGGCCCTCAAGTGGAAGTATCATGACAAATGGGCTTCCATGACAAATGGCCGAAGCCCCGAAACTGATGCGCGAGCCTCTGAGCCACAAGAAAACATCCTCCATGGTCACTTCTCCCAAGAGATCACCTGCACAGATCTTATTCGAATGATCGATGGAACGTTTGTCATAAGCATAAAGGTCAAGTCTTGTCACTAGCATGGAGGCCCTACACAAGCAATAAATGCGCCGCAAGCTAGCAAGTCAAGCCCCATATCTAGGAAAAGATATTTGAACTAAAGAGATGAGGCCACGTGCCACTTCATCCAAGGGCTCCCATTTCATATACACTACTATAAATACTTCCCTTGTGTAATATCAAAGGGCTAATGCAAGAATCAATACTAAAGACTACATTTTACTCAACTCTCTCTTATTTACTTGCAATACACAAATCGAGTTTATACACTTTTACATACACATCTACAAGCACCGATTGGTAATTATTGTACAATCGGATCACGAACAACCCGTCGGATTTCGAACGTCACCGTCCCGCGTCGTTGGGCTACTCTCACGCCCCTTTGAACCGTTCATTTTAGACTGTCCACGTGTCTTAGCGTGTTGGACATTCGCCCACGCCAGCACGGGTGGGACCGACATTTGTTGGCGCACTTTTCGGGGTCAACAAGCTTTATATTTTCCAGCTTAAAATAATTAAATTAAAAGAAACGAGAAAATAATTTCTTCATCTTCCTTATTCGCCCAAACCCCACCGTGGTCGTGTTGACCATCACAGGTGACGATGGTCAATAGTTGGCGTTATCATATCGGAATAATACAACTCCCTAGAGTAATACTTACTATGAAGTATCGCCCCTCGGGACATAACTCAGTGGTGCAAAGGATAGGAGTGAGGTAGTATCAGCCTTGTTAGCAGCCGCAATGTGAGGATTCGATTCCTAAGATATGGAATTAGACTCTTTGTAAGCACCAATGTACGGACAAGCTCCTGTTCCCTGGCCTGTTGGGGCACATTCCGCGATTTACCTCCCTCACAATACTCCAGGAGTGGGGCGGTGGGGTCCTCAAGGTTGGGGTTCAACCTTTTTACTATGAAGTATCAAATGTGTTCTGAAAAGTTAAAAGCACTGCAGAGTGCAAGCAGATGACTTTCAAGTATTGCAAGACTAGAGAGGGAAAGATTCCTTACAGTCAGTCACGACGCGCTTCCATGAAATTATGCCTACTACATTCTCAACAACAAAAACATTGTCAGAATAAGAGCTTAAAAAGAAACTTTACATGTAAGGATTTTGAAGTTGAACTATATATAACGAGGAAAAGAATGATTTATTTATTGTTTGTTTTGCATGGTGAGATGTTTCTACATCCACATATTAATGATAAAGAAAGAGAAGTAGATGACGAAGAAAATCAAGTTAAATTGGTTTTATGAAAGAAACAGGAAGTTGTTATGGGAATCCGAAGCAGTGCATGATTTGAAGATATTCGTGTGAAAAATTTACTGATTTCAACACCGTTCGTAACTTACCATAGTACTGGATAGATCCTCTATTATCAACATAAACACTGCAATGTTTGTTCATTCTGCAAATGCTACTTTGCACAGTAAACCATGAAATCTCAAATCCATATAGCATAGAGCCACGGATGTCTGAATGCGAAAGATTATTCACTTCCTTAAATGGCCACGATGTCATCACCGTGAGATCAATACTGCACATATCTCCCACATCTGTTAAATTCAAATCACTAGCCTTAACATATATGTATCTTCCGGTTGATGAATAAGAATCATTGGAAGCATAGACCTTGTGGCTACAACTAGCAGTTTTCGAAAAGACAGAGGAATTGAAGTAATATGGCCAGCTCATAAAAGTAAAACGCGATTCTACTTCAGCTAACATTATTGATTTGTTTAACTTCAACTTCTTGCTGTAGATGGTATATGGAAAATTATTAGTGAAGTTGTATTGAAACAGAGAACACTGAGGAAGGGAGCAATTATCATTTTTTAAGGCAGCATCAACAAGACGAATGGTGCAATTATGGTAATTGATGGCTTGCACATGGTACTTGCGGGAATTTAGGTAAAGTGAAGTAATATTGTCATCACAAACTAGTTCATAGCTGGAATCACCACAGTGTTCTGCATCCCCGGTTAATCGAAAAGGATAGCTAATATTAGAAATCCTGCCACAGGCAGAAGGGTTGCATTGGGGATTATGTCTTGCGCTGGATGTTTGAAGTAATTGGATTAGGATCAAGGCAGATAAACATTTGAGGAGGAAGGTTTCTTCAAGCATAGTTTTCAAGGTTTCTAGTCTCTGTGTGTTTTGAGGGAGGGATTTATTCAATGTTTAATGAAGATAAATCGGCAAAGACATTTAAGAATGTGGATAGAAACTCCAGAGGAAAAGACAAGTCTTTTCCATCAAGTGTGAATGCTTGACTCTTTCTTCCGTAGAATTTGTAATATAAGTGAAAATAGAGTTTTATCATCATGTCATGTCTAGTCTTGCCTAAAAGTTTCTGTGATGCTTCCTGCTAATCAATGCTGTCAATTTGATTGAAAACTTCAAAGAGGAAAAACCTGGACCACCAAGCATTTTGTTGATCAAAATTTATTATCTAAGATAACATTGATAATAGAAGAAGAGACAGAAAAAATATATGAATTTGAAGACTAAAATGTCCATCTTTATCTGCTTCAAGTTCTTGTTCTTTCCACTGGTTGTAGTAGGATTTGATGACTGCACAACAACCAGGTGCAGTAAAGGTAGCCTGACCATTCGGTTTCCTTTCAGGAATAAATTTCTACAGCCAGAACATTGTGGCTATCCAGGTTTCGATTGTATTGCCACAAGAGCAAGACTTGCTCGAACTGCCTTTTTCAGTCAAGCTAGAAGTAAAGAAAATTGATTATGCTTCTCAAAAAATCCATTTCTATGATCTCGATGGATGTCTTCCTCCAAAGCTTCTGTATCTTAATTTATTAGCTTCCCCATTCCAAATCCCTGAAAATCTATTGCACAACTACAACATGTTCAATTGTACTGCAGTCGAAAGAGAGATGGATTACAATAATATTCCTTGTCTTGGTGTCGTCGGCTATCAAGTCCACGCCATTTATTCTGATCCATACTCAGTCGACTATCTTTTGACTTCATGTACCAAGATTCATGAAATTTCATCTGTTCCATTGTCTATATTACGAGAACACTACCTCTATCTGAAATGGTCAGAACCATATCGTGGCAAATGTGAAGCTCAAGGAAATATTTGCAGCTTAGACACCAATAAAAATGGAACTCAGTGTACCAACAAGCCCAAGACACATAGAAGTATACACTCAATCCATCTTTTTCTTCGATTTTATCTGCCTATCTAATAAAAAAATGATCGTCTTGTTAGAGCTATGTTTATATTTTATATAACAAAGGGAAATAAGATTTTCACTTTATTTTCTTACAGGTGAACCAAGGTGAGATTTGATTGTAGGTGAACTTTTCCTTCATGTCGTTTAATTTACTTCAGAAATGTTATTTTCTATCTTGTGCTGTTAAGGTTTATTATCAAAAGTATTGCTTGTATCTTGTATTCTTCAAGAGGCACCTTAGGTGCTTTGCTTTCTGCGGGAACACTTGTAGCATTTTACTATGTCGAAAAGTTTTCGGAAGATTTTAGAGCTCTCAAGCCCACTAGATTTCTCTTATGCAGAGATCAGAAATATCACCAATCAATTCAGTGAAAAATTGGGTGAAGAGGGGCTCCGAAATTGTATATAAAGGGAAGCTGTCTAATGAAATTTGTGTTGCAGTAAAGGTCCTCAGCAACTTCAAGGAAAATGGGGAGGCGTTAATTTATAAATGAAGTTGGAACAATCCGGAGAATCCACCATGTCAACATAGTTCGTTTATTAGGGTTTTGTGCCGACGGATTTAGAAGAGCTCTAGTGTATGAATTTCTACCAAATGAATCACTTGAAAAGTCTATCTTCCAAGTTGGTTCTAAGAGAAATACTCTTGGTTGGAAGAAGCTCCAAGTTATTGCTATAGGCAGAGCTAAAGGAATTGAATATCTTCACGAGGGTTGCGACCAACAGATCCTTCATTTCGATATCAAGCCCCACAACATCTTGCTAGACCAAAACTTCAACCCAAATATCCGTGACTTTGGTTTAGCTAAGTGTTTGGAATCTACTTAACATGCGCAGCGGAAATTAAAACAATTTTCGATTCCCACCAGAATTCATTTTTGTGTTTAAATAGAAATTGTGAAAAAAAATCGTACATTTTACAAGATCTGCAAACTCCTTTTGTCATATCTTTGTTCCAGCAACTTGGATCTGTCTCCCACAGCTGTCCAATTGTCCAGCCTCCAACGATGATCCACACAGAGAACAAGATTGCATTATTATGGTTTTCTTCTTGTGCTAACAAGAATAATAAATTCTCTACAAAATTTTGAACCCTAATCAGTTATTTATATAAGTCCAAACGAGTTTGGTCTGACCCGATCCAATATTTAATTAGTCCATTTAATTAAAGTCGGTTCATGAATTAATTAATCCAATTAATTAATTCGGCCATATAAATAACCAACCTAATTAATTAATTTATCCAACGATTGTTAAATTAATTAATTGACTAATTGCAACCTTCCAATTCTCTTTTGTGTACGACCCATCATGTTCCTGATCACGATACCTAACGATGTGAAATATTATTTTGATCTAATTAAAATTGATAAATTAAAACACCCTTTTAATTTATCACAAACTCACACTCGTTGTCCCAGATCGACATCTAATAATGTGTCAGGGCAATACATGTGACGGAAAATGTCACGTGGTATGACAAAACCAAATTCGTTCGTTTATCGTGAAACTATAATCCCTTCGTCAATATGATCAGATCAATTATGAGATATGAAAGTGTGTCAATCCCGATTATCGATCATATCTTTCACTCCAATATTAAGTCAATATAATTCAAAAAATCATTTTCGACTTATGAGTACACCTTGACCAAGGATTTTGTTATTGACTTAATTGAATGAAATGCAGATCATAATCTTTTACTATCTAAGAGTGACGAATCCTCTATTGGTCATTCACAACTTTCATACGATTCTTGACATACCTGAACGATGCTGTATTAGCAACCCTTGGCAGAGCAACATCCAGCACCGTCAAAGCATGACTGTCTTCATATAAGGTACTATCACGACCTCAAGTCAAAGGACCAATCTCACTACCGAACGTTAGAGATTAACCACTGACACTCAGATAGTTATCCATATGGAATCTCTAGGCTGGCCTTCAATGTTTTGTTCTATAACAAAACATTCACGTATTCATTCAAGTGTCACCACACTTTAGCTTCTGAGATCAGCTACTTACTTCCCAAGTAAGAAATACCACACGTGATGGTCTATCCGTAACAAGGATATCCGTATCTCGTTATTACTTACGACCACAGACAACTTAAAATTCAATTATATGTAATTTGTATCTCACAATCACAACTCATTGTGGTTAACAAATTACGAAGATTTGAATCTACGGACTCTATTATTTAATTTAATTAAATAATAGATCTGCCATTAAATTGTATTAATTATATATTAAAAGTATTTATATCCATGGTTGATTGGACCTAAGGTATAACACTTACAAACTCCCACTTGCACTAGATCCAATCACTTATGTATCCAATACCATATGAGTCTCCATGACAATCATGTTTATGCTACGACAACTCTTTGTCAGTGGATCTACAATATTGTCAAATATGGGAATTCGTTCTTCTCTTTAGTCATTTATATGTATTATCTCTCTAATGAGATTGTACAGTCTTAATACATGTTTGGATCATTGATGAGACCTTAGTTCCTTCTCTTTCGCAATGGCTCTATTGTCATCACAATACAATGGTATGTGACCAGCAATATTAGGAAGTACTCCAAATTCATTAATGAACATCTTGATTCACATTACAACTCGTTAATGCTTCTGAAGCAATCATGTATTAGATTTCTGCTATTGAATCAACGATTGTTTCATGTTTAGAATCTTTCCAACACACCGTTTAAGAGTAAACCAATTTCTCCACATATAATCTTCTCAAAATTTTATTTATATAGATTGGGATGAGTTAAGCAATCCTCTAGATCTATCTCTATAGATCAAGTTGCTTCCCCATATAGTTCATAAATAAATTATTTAACAACTATTATTTCAACGATTGAAATACAGGGATGTCATATCCTATAATATTAGGAATGCGACAATACTCCCACTATTTTCTTTTAAACACACAATTCGTTTTCATATTTGATAAAATCAAATCTTTTGATTTTGCATCAAATTGAAGATTTCAACTCCAAAAAACTTGCTTTAACCCATAGTCACGGTGTGTAACTATTACAACCAAAATCCGAATGGACTTCAGCAAAGCTACAGGATAAAGTTTCACCAAGGTCAACACTTAACCTTTTGTTACTAACCTTGCTTTGTATGTATGGATATTTCCATCCATGTCAACCTTTTATTGTAAACCATTTACAACCTATGGATTTTATTCTATCAGGAGGGTCGACTAAGGTCCAAACCTTGTTCACATACGTCGAGTACATCTCGAGCTTCATGACCTCTTGCTGTCTCTTTTAAATCAACACTTGACTTTATTTTTTTGTGCAATTAGTAGTTTCATCATCCTGGATTAGTAATACCTGATTAGTAATCACAGATTCGCACATTATTGAAGGTCGAATGATCCTCCCAGACTCACATAGAGCTGACATGTCCCTAGTATTCTCTACTCCCTGATTAAGGGTATGTCCCATATCAAATATGGGATAAAAATCGGATTCATCTGCTTAGTTAACTATATCTGTGGTTTAAGTTCTATTTTGCTCACACTGTCCTCTCCTAGAGTAAACATTTTCTCTAAGAGGGCGATATGTCATGAAACGAAGACTTTCTTCTCAATAGGTTAATAGAACTAATATCCAAATATCTGTTTTGGATATCCCACAAATATGAATTCATCGGATACATATGCTCAAGTTTATCCGATTCAATGCTCTTCAAATAAGTATCACAGTCCCAAACTTTTATATGAAATAAGTTAGGACTATTGTCTTTCCATAGCTCTACGGAGTTCTGTTAACCAACTTAAATGAGACATGATTTAGTGTGTAGCACACTGCAATCAGTGCATGACTCCAAAACGATTTTGGGAGATTTGAATGACTCATTTTTTATTGGACTATATCTAATAGTTTACGATTCCTCCGTTCAGATACACCATAATGTTGTAGTGTATATGGAGGAGTTCACTGCGAGAGAATCTCATTCTCTCTTAGATAATCTAAATTTTTATCTTTAAGATATTCTCACTTCGATCGGATCTTAATGTGAGGATATCTTTACCTATATATTTCTCTACTTCTAGTTTGAATCCTTTGAACCTTTCAAAAACTTCATGCTTGAATTTTAACAAGTATACATGATAATTGATGACATAAGAGAAACATTATCTAACATTAATTGATATGGGTCCATTTACATCACTATGTATTATGCCAACATTTATGCAGACTTATTCCTTTTCAAGTAAAATGAGATTTGGTTATTGTGCTGAGTAGGCATGATATGCACTTGTCAAACGATTCAAAATCAATTGATTCCACATATATATCTCTATGTAATATTGGAATTGCATTTCATCTATATGACCAAGTTTGCAACACCAGATTTAGGTATTATTTAGATTATCACTTTTATGTCTTTTAACTTCTATACTCATTATAGAATGCTTAGTGCTTAGAATGTAAATGTTATTTTTGTAACTTACCATAACTATTAAGATCTTAATCAAGGTAAGCAGGAACAACAATTATCCTTAACATTAACATAGTTCATGTCTGAATATGAAATTCATTTTAATGTTCTAGTTATGGTGGGTACAAAGCAACATTTCTCTAATTCAAATACTAAGCGAAAAGGTAACGGCAAGAAGTGTGCTCCTACAGGTAATGCAGCAACATTTGCTCATCTTCAACGTATAGGTTAATTTTTCCCTCTTACAGTGGTCTACTTTCTTTTAGTTTTTCCATAGTTGTATAAATATGAGATCTACATCTGGTATCAAATACCTAAAAAACTCGTGAAGTAGACGTAAGCCATGCAATAATTCTTCCAATGACCTTTCATTCTATAATGAGACCAAAGGTCATTAGATTTGGTATTGTCCTTCACTTTGACGGTTTTAGCCATATTGGATTCTTTCCTAAAGCTCCGTTAGACTTCCTCTTAATACCCTTAGAGGAATCAATGACTTGTCCACTTGTAACTTTGATATTGGGCAAAACAGTCCTAAGCATGTCAAGCAACTCAATGGGTGTGTATTCGAACTTATTCATATCATAATTCATAATTAGTATGAATGACTCTCTGATAGAGATTGCAGAGCTAATTCAATACTTAATTCGTAGTTCATGACTAAACCTCATTGAGATAACCTCTCGATGACAATCATCTTTAGTACATAAGCACCGATCGAAGATTGCTCTATCA